CACGAGGCCACATGCACTCTCTTCCCTATCATCGTACCTTTCCATTTATGCAATATCCCCTGCAACTGGAAAAGGTAAATTGCCGGTATGTAAATGAGTGACAAGTAATGAATCCCCGTCCTTTCAGTGTAAGATCAATGTTACTAGCAACTTAAGAAGCCTTCATCACTCCCTGTTCCCGCCTGCAGTACCCACTCGTCCTCAAGGCGTTACCGGGCAACTTCCACCGGGGGTGTCCTCAAATGAGCATTATTGTGGTGATGATAATGATGATGATTATGGTTCCTTTTTTTTCCTTTTAACTTCGTCAATTTTATTGCCCTTTGGTTATATTAGACTTCAAGCTCGCCGACTTTCCATATGATGTCGAAGATTTTATTCTGCAACTAGATTCTGATTCCTCGCCAGTTCAAAAGAACTGGAGACATGTCGCTCACAGGTTTGAAATTTCCAAACAAGACATTCAGCTGTTGGAGACAGAAAGCAGGAAGCCAGGAGTTAGCGCAATAAGGCTTTTGATTGAAAAGTTGTGCAGTTTCAAATGTACGACTCTAAAAGAGTTCGTAGAAGTCCTCCAGGAGCTGGAACGCAACGATGTTGCCAACGACATTATCAGCTGGTTTAGGCAAAAAAAGGACAGATGTTCAGAGGAGGATAAAAATTGACAATACCCAAAGGTTGTTGGATTTTTCATAGACATCCTATACCACGCATGGACTCTAAGAACAATGACAATTGATAATAATTAAGTCGGTCTTGTAAATAACGTGTAACTGATTTTGTGTATTTAGAGGAATCAAAATAGTGTAAACATATTTTTGGAAAGGAAATTTTTGTATTGAAATTTATATTAGGAAGCTCGGTGAAATTTTTAAATTAATCTTCTAGGTTTTTGTAACCTTTTTAACAGGGACCGCGCAGAGAGAGGGGCTGGGAGGGCTTTAGGCCTCCCCCCCCCCCCACTGTTTTGCAAAAATAAAAATAAATTAAACAAAAAATTATTCAACAAAAGTAACTGAGCCAAAAAAGACCCCCACACTCTCAAAAACTTGCTGTGTGGTCCCTGTTTAATCTTTGCTTTTAGTTATAAAGTTGTAAAGTTTTTTTTTTTTGTGCATTGTCAGAGTTATTGTAGGAAAGTATGTCGGTATCCTATATATCTGAATGTTTCAAATTTCAAACAGGCCAGTGGTATAGAACACGGAAGGTTATCGGAAGTTATCTTTCCTTATAGTATTCCTTAATTTCGGTTTTCAATTTACAATGAGAGGCTGAGAAAATACTGCGGCCTAATTCACTTGGCATTGCTTGATCTCACATTGAGAAGAAAGTAAGCACTGCGTGCTGAATCTATTTTAACAAGGATATTTTCGATATCATGCATGCTCTGAAGTCATCCTGTGTGACCCGCTGAAGTGTGAAACTTGTCTTAGTCAGATTAATTACTTTTCAATCGAGTGTCGAAGTAACATCGCTTGTTTATATTTCATATTGTGCCGTCGAGAAATTCACACCACACATAACCAGATGCAAAACTGACACCAATCGCGATCTAGTTAAAGGAATTTTTCCAGGAGCATGAAGCAACTCTCAGGCGTTTACAGACTTTTAGTTCTCCCACAGGTTTCTTATAACGTTTAAATTAAAGTTGTTTGATTGGCCGCTGTAATTCTTTTGCTTTTGATTTCACGACACTTAATTGAAAAGTTCCTTCTTAGTGATCAATTCTTAGTGATCAATTCTGATGTAATATCTTTGCCCTTATTTATTACGGTACCACACAAGAATCCGAATGAAGTGATGGTAATAACTGTAGAGTTCTCGGTTTCGAATTTTCGGCGTCTCACGAGTCTTAGATTTCAGCATTCACCACGGCCCTTCTGTGACTAGACTTTGTGAAATTTTGCATTTGAAATAATGCTTAATTTATGAACGGACACAATTTGAATTTTTCGCCTTCAATCACACGCAAAATGGTCTGTGTAGTACATATTTGTACATAGAGGTATATTTTCCTTCTCTCCAGAGAATAACGTGAGAGTCGAGCCAAATTTTCATATGACCTTCGTAACCAAATCCTAGTATTTTGATTTGTTGTTCGTTTGTTGTTCTTATGTTTGGAGGTCAGAATTTTACGGTGATTGATAAAATTGAACGTTGACAGTTTCTGTACCTGGTCTGTACCGTTTAAAATGCTAAAATAAGAGCTGTGTGATTGATCAGCTGATATTTAAGGGTGCAGAAAAGCTTCATTCTCCTTACGGTTGCCTTTCGCGTTTCACGAATCAAGAATATTAGCCACGATGACAACAGACTAAAATTAAGTAAACATATTTTTTGGAAATTAAACATTTTGCTATACTTCTAAAAAATATATTAGACCTAAATCAAAAGAGGATTCAAATTATGCCAACTAAAGACAACGTGGGGGATTTTTTTTCTCTCCAACATATAATCGACATTTCACCGCTGTTGAATATTTAAAAAAATAAAGTGATTAAAAAAGAAGAAAGTCGTGTTTTCCCATAAGCAAGCCCGCATCGTTCAGTAAACACACCAAACAGAATAATCCTGTTAAAAAAAAAAACAGCTCGTTTACAATTATTTGTTGGTTTTGGCTATGATTTTCTAGCTCAGCAATATTTCATAAAATGTTTATTCGGCGTTAAAATCGCTTAGAAGTGGCACGTTCTCAATAGCTATGATCTCTATTATGATCTTTCAATCTCGGTCGCTTACGACAGGCATGTCATGTCTATTCTGCTTAACAAAGCTTATTCAGGCTGATTTACACACTTTGTACTGTAGATAAAACAGATTTATCTCAACATGTTTGTCTCCGTAAGAGCATTTATACTTCTGTAAAAGTGTTCATAAAAAGATTTCGTCAGGCGGAAAATGGAGGAGAAGTGTCAATTTTCAGACACATCAATGATGTCGTGTCTCTAGACCACTCGAAAAGCGAAAGCGGTCATTTATTTTGGAGTATGAACTCGCGAGTTGAATTGTCAAACTCTCGTAGGCTAGGTGCATAAGTGATCTTCAAGTGATTTCAAAATAACAAAGCTGATTGAAACGCCCATCGTGGTTGTGTTTTTGAAGGTTGTAACTGCGACGCACAAATGCAGTAATAATTGCATCCTGTTTTTTTTTCCTGTGAGGTTTCCGTAGATCTAGCGCAAACCCACGTGTAACAGAAGACGATCATGAGGGATGCCGATCATGACGATCATGATCAGAGGACGATCACATGACTGATTGATCCGCCCCCTGTCGTCTCACTTTGCGTCATCCCCAAGTAAAGAAATATTCTGTCAAAGCTTCGTAAGCAATTAATATTGCGATCCAATTTACGCCTGTAGCACTGATAAGGTGGCGAGATATCTCAAGCGGAGGACAGCTGTGACTTAATTTGGCAAAAAGCGATTTATTTGTTGCTCATACTGCGAGCATACTTCAAGAATCAAAAAGCACACCGTCACGTAATCGTGATTGCAAACGGGTATGAGTATGCTATACTTTGAAAGCGATGACATGTTCCCTCGTCTGCGGTTTGATCACTAACTAAGACGTGACCTTCAGGAACTTTGAAAGATTTTAGCTAGGATACGTAAATACTTAGCCGAATTTCCCCGGCAATATATATCACGGTCGATATTAAAGTGTGTGTTTCTTGTTTACAGAAACCGTCACGCCGCAAGCCTTTTCAAAAGGAGTTTCTCGTTGATATAAAAAATGGTAAGTGTTCGTTCTCTAGACTGTTTGAACCTTTCATTAGCTATTAATAATGTACCAATATATATAAGAGAAGGATTTCAAATTTTTTTTACCATCATTTTGAAATCACGCTGAGTTAGCACATTGTTTTCCTTCGCAAATTAATACATTGCCTTGGGGAAATCTACAGTTTAGTTTTGTTGTTTGTAAACTCTTAGAAGTTCTGCTCGCCTCATAGTCTTACCAACAACGTTGACTTGTACATTTAGTTCTTAAAGGAAAAAAATAATCTAGATCCTAAAGTTCATCTCGCTCCGCTGCATAGTATGTAAATGATTATTTAATGCAAATTATCATGTGATTATTTCGCTAGTTAGCCTAAGTGTTGATTTTAAGTTTACTACGTGCCTATTTTCAGGATTATATCTTATTTCGTTAGTCTCAACCAAAGTTTTCTGTGTATTATATACGGAAAAATTAATGGCCCTCTCTCTCTACTGCGACGTATGTCTAGTACACACTTATATTTACATGTTTATATTTACATGTTTACATTTACATGTTTACATTTGGGTGGTTGATAGCTCCTTCCGGTCACAGATAATATGATTTCCGCCGTTTTTTCGGATCCAGTCCTCGGTCTTCCTACGCGGGAAGGAGCACGGGTGCAATTCCCGAACAGCGGTTAGAAAGCGCACACGGATTAAAATGAACTGTTTTTTTACGAATAATTACAGAGATTGTAAAGAATGGTCAATTGTATTGCCTTCATTTTAATTTTTCAGAAAACAATTCAACGTCTGTTTCTTCTCTGGATGATGGCATCCGTGGTAGAAGGTCAACACTTATGTCCAATGGCTCAAAACTTTTGGAAACTGAGTACCAGCGGTGAATTCAAAGCATGTATACCGTGTCCAGAGTGTCCTGAGGGTAACGGGCTGAACATTCAATGTGGTTCATCGATCACAGATGATACTAAGATAGAATGCGTCCAATGCAAAGAAAACGTGACCTACTCCAATAGCCATGGAGTGGAAAGCTGCAAACCCTGTCAGGACTGCGGTCTACGAAATGTCCTTCAAGAATGTACCTCGGACCAAAATCGCAAATGTGGACGTAAATGTCCCAAAGGGTATTTCTTTGATGGCCACATCACTGATTGCAGAGAAACTACGCCAGCAACAGTCTCAACAACAACTTTTTCAATACAACATTCTCCTAGCATTTGGCCACAACTCTCATCTCCTTTAGGCGGTGGCTCGTCTACAGCAATTGTAGCGTCTATGAAAGATTTATTCTCAGTAGAAAGTGTTACCTCGACGAGTATAGCGTCGACTCCAAGCGTAAAGCCACAGCGTTCATCGCTGATGAGCGTTTTGTCTCTGGTAGTAGGAAACCGTTCCTCTACAAGCATAGAATTCACGCAGGTTATCATGCCACAACCATCGTCATTGTATCGTGGAATCGTATCAACTTCGATTCCTGGAGGTATAGGATTTCCAATACCTAAAGGAAACGACGCCTCTGCAAGTGTTCCGGGGAAAAAAAAGACTCAGGGACGGAAAGGCAAAGCTTTGACACTGTTGACTATAGTGGGAATAATAGGATCGATAGTTTTGATCGTCATCTTTACACCGACTGCAATAGTTTGCTGGATAAAATGCAGAATTTCTGAGAAGACAAAGCCAGAACAGACAGGTAAGATTATACTAAAATAAATGAAAATAGGAAAAGCGTTAGTGAAGGGTTCTAAATAATCTAAGCGACAAGGAGCCTCGGCCTAATAGCCCTCTTGAGTGACTTGAGTGGGATCCATAATTTGCTAATTCGAAATATATATATTTTCGTAACATTTTCCTTCGCAACACGACAGATATCATGATAAAAGCGCGAGTCTTCAATAGTTAACCCACCCTGTCTTCTCTGGAATGGAAAGTTCAAGCACAGGGGACTGAATCTTTTATACGTAGTCGACTTTTTGAAGATAGAACAGATCATAGACATCATATCAAGCCAAAACGAATGAGCAAAAAGAGATTTTATCGCTCATGGCTTGCTCACTTTTTGGCCGTTTCCACTCAGTGACCTGGCACAAGGAACGCAGATCGTTTTCAAAATGATCTTTAATTTGTTGTTGCAGATCCTGCTGGAATACTATTGGACCCCTTACGAGACACTGAGAATTCACCGAGCCGCTCTTTGCCAGGTAAGATTATGATGCTGATAATTTTCCATTCGTTTACCAGGAAAAGGGCCGATTCCGTAGACCTGATCAGAGTTCTAATCCCCAAATTACTTTACAGCTACTCAGCTCGTTGGCAAACCTTGAATTTTGTGTACGTTTTCTTCACTGTTTTGAGGATGACTAATTTTTTTTCTCTTTCGAACCTCTCCGTGTTCTTACAACTTCCCAAACAGTTTTTTAGAACTCTTTACCTCTCCAAAAGGGTTACACATTTGTCAGCAGGAATATTGCTTTTTTTGTGTAATTATTATTACTGGTAGAGATGTTGATAGCCAGGCCTCGTTAAAAATGTCAGAAGTCGGTCAAGGCTTGTGATTTTGAAGTGACTCTTCAGTTGAAAAAAGAAAGGTTCAGCCACCGGGCCAGACGTATAGACCTAAATGTTGTGTGTGAAAAAATGCCCCCCTTTTTATCTCTTTTTCATACTTTTTGGTACCTGTTGAACACTCCCGTTCCCCCTTCGCTCAGACAAAATGACCCCTGAGAAGGTACCTGTATGAGTCACTCTAACTCTGAAGACAATCTCATTTGGGTTTTTTTTTTCACCATTTGATTTTCAGAAATCGTTGGCTCTTTTCAAAACAACACTGACTCTGCTGAAAGTTTAATGGCTTCTCAAGGAAGTGAGTCCTTAGATGGTGAGTGGTTCAAAATTTTCACGTGCCTATTTACTAGGTTTATTTCAGTGATTTTCTTTAGCACTCAGATAAATGGAAGCCAAAACCGCACTATTGTTTCCCTGTGAAATTGCCTTCTTGAATTCTTTTAGTCTCCGTTTGAGCAAAATGGTAATAGCTAAACACCCGTGAAATAGTTCTCTGAACAAAGCCCTTCACTTGGCGAAGTTCCTCATGAGCGCTGTTGCCTCTTCTCTGATATCCAATGCAATCAAAAAGTTTTATTTTTTTATAGTTTTTAACAAGACTTGCAAAACAAAATGCCTGATTTTAACCGTTAAGTTTGATGAGGGCCAAACTGAATGAATCACATACACTCTCTCCCCTATCATCATACCTTTCCATTTATGCAATAATCCCCGGCAACTGGAAAAGCCAAATTGTCAGTGAATTCACCATAATTAAATTCATTCAATTACAGTTCGCCGTGATGGTCAAGGAGACGACAAAGATTTTGTTCTTACGAATGACATCCCCGAAGGTATGGAAATGAGTGACAAGTAATGAATCCCCGTCCTTTGAGTGTAAGATCAATGTTATTAGCAACTTAAGAAGCCTTCATCACTCCCAGTTCCCGCCTGCAGTATCCACTCGTCTTCTAGGCGTTAGCGGGCAGCTTCCACCGGGGTGTCCTCAAATGAGCATTATTGTGATGATGATGATGATGATTATAATGGTCACTTTTTTTTCCTTTTGACTTTGTTAATTTGATTGTTCTTTCGTTATATTAGACTTCAAGCTCGCCGACTTTCCATATGATGTCGAGGATTCTATTCTGCGACTAGATTCTGATTCCTCGCCAGTTCAAAAGAACTGGAAACATGTCGCTTACGGGTATGGAATTATCAATCAAGACATTCAGGTGTTGGAGATAGAGAGCAGGAAGCCAGGAGTAAGCGCAATAAGGCTTTTGATGGGAAAGTTGTGCAGTTCCAAATGTGCGACTCTAAAAGAGTTCGTAGACGTCCTCCAGGAGCTGGAACGCAATGATGTTGCCAACGACATTATCAGCTGGTTTAGGAAAAACAGGACAGATGTCCAGAGGAGGGTAAGAATTGACAATACCCAGAAGACTGTTGGGTGTTTCTTTAATATCAGTGACAGTTGAGAGTTATTGAGTCGGTCATGTAAATAACGTAACTGATTTTGTGTATTTAGTAAAATCAAAGTGATCTGGACAAAATTTTTGGAAAGTAGGGATACACGTTGTTTGAGAGATTTTGTTTTAAGATTAGACTACAGGATCTTTTTAAACAGGTGTTTTGAAGATTTAGGCAATTTTTGTATTGAAATTTATATTAGGTAGTTCGGTGAAAATTTTACATAATTTTTCTAGGTTTTTGTAACCTTTTTAACCTTTGCTCTTAGTTTTAAAGTTGTATATAATTTTAGGTAACGCTCTTAAGTGCAATTGAGGACGAAGTTTTTTTTAATGTTGTGCATGGTCAGAGTTTCTTTATTGCAGGAAAATGTGCCGTTATCCTTTATATCTGAATGTTTCACATTTCAAACAGGCCAGTGGTATAGAACACGGAAGGTTGTCGGAAGTTATCTTTCCTTATAGTATTCCTTAATTTCGGTTTTCAATTTACTATGAGAGGCTGAGAAAATACTGCGGCCTAATTCACTTGGCATTGCTTGATCTCACATTGAGAAGAAAGTAAGCACTGCGTGCTGAATCTATTTTAACAGGGATATTTTCGATATTATGCATGCTCTGAAGTCATCCTGTATGATGTGACCAGCCGAAGTTTTAAACTTGGCTTAGTCAGATTAATTACTTTTCCATCGAGTGTCGAAGTAACTTGATTTGTTGATATTTCATTGTGCCGTCGAGAAATTCGCACCACAACATAGCCAGATGCAAAACTGAAACCAATCGCGAATTAGTAAAAGGAATTTTTCCAAGAGCACAAAGCAGCTCTCATGCGTTAATTTACAGACTTTAAGCTCTCTCACAGGTTTCTCAGTTATAACGTTTAAATTAAAGTTGTTTGATTGGCCACTGTGAGTACTTTGCTTTTGAATTCACGACCCGCAATTAAAGAGTTCCTTCCCAATGATAAATTCTGAGGTAGTAATGAGTCTTGTATCATTGTAGTTTATCTTTTTTAGTTAAGTATTGGGGCATAGCTCGATGACGTTTCCTGGGGTGCTTCTCCTGAAACTCCTATGTGAGGTTACTTTTTTAAAAATATTTTTTTGCTATCAATTCTGTACAAAACTTATATTTAAGGTTTTCAAAAACAGACAAATCCGAGGAAACCTTTAAAAAATCCAAGCTACGCCCCCAGTTGTAACCTGTGCTTGCCCGTATCCGCTTTTCCAATCAAGATTCGGGAACTGGCAATTAAATATTGGTGGGCAACTTAGGTAGTCATGCCCTTTGAAAAATGGTAATCAGCACTCTAAGATAAAATAGTAAACTTGTATAGACGCAACGAAATATTTTTGTTTATGAGTTGGGTAGTAAACCATTAAATGCTGAAAAAAACTATCTTGGCTGTAGTTTGGAGTCCTCTTTTGTGGTAAACGAGAGTAGAAAATCTTCAGGGCACAGAAATTAAAGAAAAAAGAGTGAATTAATCACTCCTGAGGTAACAGCCCGCTTGTAGGGGCTCGCTCGATATTTTTTAACGTGACTCAGCAAAACTTGGGCTGGCAGAAGTCGTCGAGGTAGCGTGAGGTTAAAGTTTCCGGAAAATAAAAGCTGCAAATAGTCGTTCTCCTATTAGGCCAATTTTACTAACTAACCCTTAGACAGTGTAATTCTAAGAAGGAAGCCCTGGGCATCACCCAGGTACCTCATGATAGACGTTTTGATTCACTAATAGGAAATTGGTCAAACCTTTCTCCGTTGTCGTGGTAAAGTCATAAGATAGGAATTTTACACAATTCGCAACAAAAAGAAATTCACGATAGAGGCCTGTGGAGCATCTTTATCCCGGAGAGGGGGTCAGGCATTGCACTAACTAAGTCTTGGACACACGTTAACTTCGTAAGCCTCTTCGCTCGTATTTTCAAAGTTTTACATATTGCCCAATTTTTGAAAACTGTGAAAATGCGCGCTGAATCAACCTTAAATATCTCTCGTGTCCATGCGAGTTGTGCAGTCAAACTATCGAAGGCTGGCGAATCAGTGATCTTGCAGTAATTTCAAAATAAATAAAAAAATGCTTAATTGGCATGAAGTTACCTTCAGTTCCCTGTTTCAGTAATGGCCGCGGTGAAATCTATACCTCTCTCTGCAACTGATTTAGAAGCTTACAGTGGAAAAAAGGGACTCAGTAACAACAATGCTGATTAATAGTTTTTGGTCGACCCTGGCGAGAGTCACCGACGACTTCAGACGTACCTAGTTCTGATAATTACACTTTGAATGTCACATTATGTAAATGTTTCTTATCAAGGTAGAATTGAATCTCAATTCCCGGGTTGATACACATGCATATGATAGACACCAAATCTATGTAGGATCGTTCTTTCTTTATTCCTTTGTCTTATATCAAAGCAGTCAACTAAAATTATTGCATCAAGGAATAACTTAAGTATTGTGTGATCTTAGCTTAAAGAATAATCTCAATTTTGGAAACGAGCTTTTGGCAATTAAAGGAACCAAAATAGAGAGATAAAAACTAGTAACAAGTTTCGCTTTGAATCACAACTACCTGGTAACGTAAGCACAAAATAAGTTGTTGCTTAGCAACCTTGGCGGGTGTTGATTACTTTATCAGGTGTTCCGGTATAAGACTTGTCTTCTATTCCAGAAACGATCTTGATTACACGAAGTCTTATCCTGAACTGAAACGCTAGCTACAATTTTCAGTCTAAAGGCACTTATCACGGACGCGTCAATCAAACCAGTTAATATTTCGGAGCTTCGCTCGGAAGCGGTATGATATTCAGCTTTACGGAAGCGGTCACGCAATATTTATCTTGCAGTTAATTGATTCTTCAAATGCATTTGCATTTGAATGATGAAACAGTGCAATTTTTTGTCTGCTTCCAAAACTGTGTGTGACCTCACTCTAAGAGAATGGAGTGGTTCAGATCGAAGATGATCGAGCCTGTCCTCATCTCGAATGTTCTTTGGCCACTGGTATTTCGAGACTCAGCATCACCATCTTTCTTCATGTCAAGTATCTTTTAATGTATAATACAAGGCAACATTTTGATTCCTAAGAGATGCAATGTAATTTAACTCAGAAATTCGTGGGCTAATGAGTCACGTAGTGGCGTCTGAATATATTGATGACGTACTTGTTTTTTCCGTTTTGCTCGTTATAAAAGACTGTCATCTACGGCTAACATGCCGTATTTCCTGAGTTATCAACTTATTGTTAGGAAGCATTTTGTCGACGAAATTATTCGCCTATCGACATTGATGTGAAGAAATATACAAGCTAAGCCGTATACAAACGGTAGGGTAGCCATTGCTCATCCTCGAATTTTGCAGTTGCTTAGTCAACATACGAATAACTCTGGCAGACTTTTAGCAAAGTTCGACTAAGCATACGTGCTTATTTCTTTTCACAGGGCAACAAAAGAAGCGAAAATAACAATGGTGGCATGAAGCCTATGACGAGCGCCATAAAGGTGAATATTTCCAAATACTCTGTTCCCTGCAGTTCGTACGCACATCAGTATTCCTGTAACCTTTTTCGCACTCTTTATCCAGTTTAGATTTCTTGAAGAAGTTTAGAACACATAGCATATGGACTTCATAATGTCATTGATCGATTCAGTTTGTAAACAGTCAACGAAGATTCGAAGTTTTTGTTTTACATCAGTCACTGCCGATTACGTACACAACAGTTTGACTGGTTACCTCGGTGGCAAGATTGGCTAAAAGAGATCATATTTAGATTAAATTTTTTCGATCAAAATTTTCGACTCGAGACAAATTGCCGAATGCAACCGTACTTATTTGGGTATTATGTCGCAGTTTCTTAAATTTTTTTTATCAAAATTTTTTTACTTCTCTTTAATTTCAGCTGATCTTGGTGATAGTCTTGTGGTCACAATCTGTGTTAGGACGTTCCACAAGATGTCCTTTGATGGAAAACTTCCTGAAATACTACCCGGATGATCCGGAAGCTCAAACGGAGTGTATAGCGTGTCCTGAATGCCCGCCAGGACTAGGACTTGTGCCACAATGTGGTTCCAAGATCACTAACTACACCACTATTAAATGCGAACCATGTCAACTGAATAAGACATTTTCAGACAATCATGGCTTTGAGAGTTGTAGGTCCTGCCACGACTGTGGCTTAAAGAACGTTATTCAGCAGTGCACCCCGTCTCAAAATCGTAAATGCGGCACCAAGTGCCCTGAAAGACATTACCTCGACGAAAATGGTTTCTGTCAAGAGTGCTACTTTTGTTGTCCCAGTGTGGACGAAACAGGTAGAATGAAGAAATGTAAAGAAATTGGAATGGGAGAAGTTCTGGCAGTGTCTTAAGAACGACCAAAACAAGCTCTGCAAAAGAAGCTTTGGAAAATTCTACAGAAGCTAGTGTTCATACAACTAATGCCACGGCTGTTACTCTTCTTCCTGGTCACAATTTTGAAGCAAATGAAACGGAGAGTACTTCTAATGATAATGTCAGGAAACCTACGTCATCATCTGAAAATTTTACATCAAATGGAAATATAAAACCTTCAGTAATAGCTGGGATTATCATACTGATTGCTTTAGTTCTTATTTTTGCTTTTTATGGAGTTAAAAGAATCATTACATATAGGAATGGTTCAGCACTGTATTCTGAAGGTAAGAGAGTCATACCTTGCAACACTGTTGTTATCTTTTTTGAGGATAGTATTTTAGGAACTGAATTCCTATTGCAACCAACACAACATGATATTGTAGCAAAAACCGATAAGTTATGCTCATGCAGTAGTTTCTCACTAGTTGTCAATAGACAACAAAATCTGAGGGAAGAGAGGTCAATAGCGGAACTGTTCTCTGTATGGGTGGTCAGACTTTCACAAACTTTGGCATGGTACTCAGTTAACAGTGATGATAGCTTACATAGTGCTGGAGTGACATCTGCACCAAAGAAAATTCAGCTTAAGTTACTTTGAGCAGCAAATAAGTACACTGTCTTGAGTTATCATATACTGACAGATGTAAAAAGCCTCACACTCTTCGCTAGGATTTCCCACAGTTATTAGCTTTTTTAGACCCCTATTCATGGTTGACCTCATCATGGCCGTATCCTTTTTAAAACCAGTGGTTGTGGGCTAAGCTAAAAAGAGATAAGGGTCGGTTATTTTCTAGACTTTTGAATAATTGATAATTCTTTTCTCGTAGATAATCGAGTAGATGAGCAGGAGCAGTTTCTCCTTGGACAACCCATGAATGATAGCCCAAATATTGAACTCATTCCAACAGGTGAGGAGTCAGCCCTTCCTTCTTCACATTAATCCTTTCACACTCTAACATCAGTATGCATATTCTCCATACTATTCTCTATACATTTCCTAATGTGCTGGCAAGGAAGTTTGTTTAACAATCATGAGATTCTTCAGTTCATTATCATTTCCTTTATTCTCACGACCTTAATGTTTGATTCAGGGGTGATATTGAAAGGAGAAATTAGGTGATGCTAGTCACTCTCAGGGATTAAAGAGTTAATCCTGAATTCTCCGAAAAAGAAAATAAATAAGCCGAATTACTCTCCCTCTGTAGTCTTTTAAATGCAAAAACTTTCAGCACAGGCTACTGAAAGTTTTATCGACGCCTCGTTTATCCTTTCGAGATAACACAGTTAGCAATGTTAATGATATTATGTACAGTGATTGTGTGGTGGCGAGAGTTACTCTCAGAGTGAAGGAAACCAGTGGCAGATCACGCATTTTCCTAGCTAAAATTTGCTTATTGTCTTGTTGCAACTTTAATGTTACAAGTCGCAGTTCTCTTTTTAAACTTAACTCTGTTTTTCAGATTGTGATGTCTCCGAAATGTTTACGCTTCGTAATGGAAATGAACTAATGCTGCACAAAATTCAAGACATGCTTGATCCAAATCCACCGCTAAAGAAAAATTGGCGACAAGTGGGACATCATTTAAACGTTACCGAGGGAGACTTAGACTTACTGGAACTTCAATATAAGTCAAACGGCAGTCCTACGGAGAGTCTTATAGAAACATTGAAGAATTTTACACCAGAGCCTTCAATGAAAAAATTTGTCGAAGCTCTGATCAGTTGTGAAAGAAGTGACGTGGCCAAATATATTTGTAACTGGCCATGGGAGAAACGTAACTGTACTGAACTGGAGAACCATGAGCAACCAGATACGGTCCAGCAACCATCCTAAGGATATTTTTCTCCCCAGTCAGCAGTTCTTTTGAAGGTCACACAATCAGCGCAACCCAAGTGCGTTCCGTGACATCCGAATACTAGCCCCAGATTCTGGAACGTTCAATTTCTTATCTAATTACTCTAATTTAGAAACTGTGTTAATTTACTGAATTTAGTTCTTTAGAAAAGTTTCTAGATCCTTGGACTTTATGTATATAAGAGCGATAGTTTTATCAAAAAATAAACAAAACAAAACAAAAAAACAGAGAATTGTGAAGAAGCTTAGTGCTGTTAAGTCGAGAAGCCAACTACGTGAAAATAAATCAGTTTGTTGCTGTTACCGACGATCCTGAGTTTTGTCTAGGAACAACCCTGCTCTACATCGACACCCGTAACAGTGTGTTATGGCGCGTTGTCATCGGTGCATTTTGATCCTTATTAGTATTCTGAGAATTAGATGTTCTACCCTCTTAGGTCTGCTTTGTTACCCATTGCCCGTAATGGTTTTTGAAAAAGAAATACACCCTTCTTGATAATACAACTTCACTTTTTTCGATGGTCAGCTTGGCAGATGAATAATTAACAATGTGTTCAACAATTAATGCGTTCAGAAATGTTTAATATATTTTTGTCCATTGTGACAAACTATTAAGGTAATTTATGTTTAAATATTTTTTATCATTTAAATATCTAATTGTATCTAATTGTTTATTCCTACGGGGATTTGTAATTGTCTTTCTAGAAAATAATACATGGCGCGCGTAGATATAGAATTTCTCGTCGAGTGTTCGGTTCGATAGCCTACGAGTGAGCACAGTTGTTCCTGAGAAATTTCCAACTCTGATGATTAGGTGTCTTATGCTAACTTTCTAATTATCTGTACACCTCGTATACCTCGTATCCTATCTTCATCATAATTTTATAGAGATTTTTGTAGTCGTCATAATTTTATACAGATTTTTATAGTTTGATATTTAGACATTAGAGAAACATTTTATAGTTTGATATTCGTTTTATAATTAAAGAACACCTGGCATACCTAGCATTCCATTTTCGTTATAATTTTAACAATTTTTTTGAAGCTTGATATTTAGACATCAGAAAGACATTTTATAGTTTAACATTCAATTTTTCATTAGCTTTTTATGTACACGTCATACACGTAGTATCTTATTTCTGTTTATAGACTTTATTTTGCCCGAATATATCCTCGTATATTTGTCTTTGGACATTATCAGTTCCTCGAATTTCCCTGGAAAAGAAAAGAGAGTGTTCAGAAAATATGTTTGGAAAGTGGAGAAAATGGAGTTCTTATTCTATCGAGTTGAATAATCACCTTCCGTGATTATAACTTAGAGATGAAGAAAAGCTTAGAAATTACGATAGCCGTCTAATCTTAACCACTTTGGATTGCGAGCCTCAAGCTTCATAAAATGATCAGAACCGTTCGACTTCTTTCAAAAAATACGGCAATAACCACTGAGTGTATTATTTATTTCATAAACACGATATATTTTTTTCTTTCTTTACCCGTACGACCTTTACACTCCCAAAGAATAGACTGTGTTTGAGGTTGACCGTCACTCGCATGAATTTGGTTTGTTGCGATGACGCTGCAACTTCGAGGAAAATAACAACCAGCGTTTCCACTGCACAACACTACATGCCTCCAAAGTATCATGAGGTAAAGAAGCACCAGGAACGTCCTCTTCCTCTAGAATTACCGTTTTATTGTTACTATTAAACTCAACAGAAGTACTCTATGTAGCCGCCATTATTTTAGTTTGTCCAGCTCAACAATCCATGCATGCCTTGCGACCCGATTTCGGTCCCAGGTCTCAACTCGTTTTGTTACCGCATGAATAAATTTGTTTGTTGCGTTGACACTGCAGCTTCGAGGAAAATAATTATTAAATCGACCGAGGGAAGTTAAAAAAACTAGAGTAAAAGAGCTTCATGCCGTTTCCATCGAATATTCCATTTTGTTCGACGTCTGTGCACTTCTTTTTGCTAAGTCAGAGGTGTACGACGATGAATGCATGATATTGGGCACGCAGTAGGTCAAGGGAAGGGGAATCTCCCTTCGGCGACCCGCTCACTCCATAAATAGTTCGCTAAACGCCCACTACAAAAAAAAAAACTCGGTGTCACGTACAGGAAATCCCTCAACCGTGGATGAATGATTAATCAATTTAGAATGAACTTTTCCGTCTTTTGCAAGCCCATAACTCCCCTCTGCCATTAAGACTGTTCATTAGGGCTAAACAAAAGCGTTTTAAGTATAACGGCTCTATATCGATGGAAATTTATGCTATCGAGACCGACAACTCCATAATTTTCAGCATGGAGAGTACAAAATTGAAGCAGTACAGATCGGTAAGTGAACAAAAGTGATTGAACTCTTAAATTTACACTTGCTCGATCTACAGTTGTTTAACTATGTTCTGGTATACTTTCGGCGAGATTCAACTGAGTTTGCATGTTTATTTCTTGACACAGGTTAACAAAGGACGCAAACTCAGTTATGATGACAAGCACAGCATGAAAGGCGCTATTAAGGTAAGAGAATATTTGTAGGTATCGTATTTATTCGATGAAACATCTCGGTTGTTGTATGGTAAATGTACTATCTTGATCTTTGAATGAAAGACAGTTGAATTGGAGCAATGAAAGGAGTACCTTGACCAATGAACAACTCTAAAATGCACACGGCAACACGCTGGGTAAGCCAAAAAGCAGGAGGTAGTCGATCGTTAAAAGGTGTCGATAGGCTTGTGCGACTCCTGTCATTCGCTTGCGCTTTTAAATCTTCTTACCTGAAAGCTTAGCTGTTATTAGGACATCTTTTAATGACTTTCGTTGGCGATGTGATTATAAGGGAATGACATGAAGTGTATGGCATGTAAAATAGTTCGCGCATTACTGTAGAAGGTCGCTGTCTCTTTGTAATGCGTTTCATGTCAAGGGTCGATTCCCCGTTAAATAACTCGCGAATTTGATATTATTCGCACAGCCATCCACTGTGAGTGTAACTGCCGCCAAATGAATTAATTCTCAGGCAAGGCTGAAGTTTCCATCCTCTCTGAATCTCTCTAGTTGCCTCCTAAGAACGAATATGCTTAGGAGAAATATCTAAGGAATCGCGCAAACGGGCAAACACTAGTTATAGTTTGTTAGGGGTCAGAGTATGCAAATTTGTCACTCACTTAGATGTAAATAAGTCGATATGTCAACGGCAGACCAATTGATTTTCCGAAATAATACATATCGACTTAAGACTTTCAGAAGTAAATGCCGCGACGTTGAAATATAATTCGACCATTCATCGAGGAAGTTTCGACCAATACTCGTCGCAGTCAGCATATGTGAAAGCGAGTCAAAGCTGTGTTAAAGTTTTGACAAGTACTATGAGTGTAGACGCTAAATGCGAAGAGTCTTTGACTCTTTGAGACGTTTGCTCGTCGATCCTCCAAGCTTATAGGGGGTTTATAAATGGTGAGCCTTTTACGAGTGAATCTGAAGAGCGAAACTTTGATCGAACTGATGAGGGAACCTATGAGCACCCATATCAGCTTAAGTATGAATCAACGTGAGGTCAAACAAAGCTATTAGAAACATCAGTAGCACACTAACTAATCAGTCCATGATATCCCACCAAAACACTCTTGTGGCCAAGCAGAACGAAACGCAGTCAGAAGACTGATCTGATGGTAACAGAAATCAAACCGGAAAATTACAGGAACGAAGAAGTAGGTCAAAGTCTAATCCTTAGCAAACGCGTCCGCCATGATAGAGAACCATCAAGATTATAGTGGAAGAACATTCTAAACTTTTTTAAAAATGGTAGAGCAGTTAAGAGGTATGTAAGGTCTCATATTTTGCATGGTGTACCACATTTGTCAGCGTTGAAAACGATTTTATCGTTCAGTTAACGTTTGATTACCATAATTATCTTAAAACTAGAATGTGTAGAGGTAAACTAATTGGAATCACTCGTGCTAAAGGTTCAAGGTTGTATTTTGCCATTGATCATGTTAATGTTTTCAAAACAAGAACTGCACAGCATAAAAAGACATGTAAAAATCAGTTGTTTTTCATGATGAATTTGAACATGTTGTTTAATGTTATACAATAAATTGTGAGAAACGAAATCACAAGTATTTTGTTTCAAGGGCAAAGTTACTTACTTCAGGTGATATTGAGTTAAACCCGGAACCTGTTACTCACGGAAATAGTCCGAACAATCTTAATGAGTTGTTACAATCTCAGTTAACTTAACATGGCTATAGAATATTAGATGTTGGTGGCGCCGGTGATTGCTCCTTTAGAGTTATGTACCATCAGTTGTAGGGTGAACCTAGCTATCACATGAATGTTCATAGTACTGGTGTTCAATATATGAGAAACAATTCAGAAAGATTCATCGAAAGTAGTAAAGACCATTCATGGTCAAGGTGTTAACTAATATATCAGGGTACATGGGCTGATGCACTTGTCATTCAAGAATGGAGTGAGTAAATCATTCACAACCTGCAGCACATTCATACAAATTTTACATTAGAAATCTGCTATAGTATACGCTTTAATGGCAAAAAGTAAAGTTAAGGAATGGTGTAGGTTAAACGATAGCCAGCATGTGAATTCTGACTATTCACTCAACATCACAAGAGCAGTTCCAAGAAATTCCATGTAGTTTTAACTCTATCCAAGAGTTACCCATTGGCTACCCATGTTTACGTGTAAAAGTGTATGTTATTGTAAAGAGGAATTATCTCCAAAATCCATTAAAACGTAATGTATCCGTGACTCAGTTATTCACAATTTCCTACGATCTATATTGTTCTCAATTTGACAATTTGCATGTTAATACTACTGCAATACATAAAGAGAATAAAGATCTTATGTTGGATATGCTTTCTCAACATCAGAACTGATACATTCAAAAGGAGTTGTGTTTGATTCACTCAAAATTTCCAATTGTTATTGAAGCAATGATCACTGTGTGCTTTTTGAGTTTATTATTTAAATAAACAGTGCATGTTGATGCAGCATTTATTCGTGGGCAGTGTTTATTAATATTTTGGTTTTAAAATGCGGCATGTATTTTAGGGCAGCATTTAATGAAATAAATATGGTACTTGTTGGTAAGGCATGGGTAAATTATGCTGCATAATTTTGAAGATAACTAGGCATCTTGCATAGCAAGAATTACGCCACCATAAAGCTGCCTTTCAACTAGGATTTTCAGCAGAATTTTTGAAAACTAGCAACACAGACTGAAAGCAATCAAACAAGTTAATAAATATGGAGATAATTTCCCACTGCTGTGTTACAGAGTTGCTCACACTTGGTTATCTCTGCTGAAAATATTGAATAACTTGTTAGGTTTTTATGAAATGTTAAAATTCATTGTTGTTTGAAAATATTGTACTTGAAGTTATGTTTTGATTAAACATGTAATGTAGCTCTAACCAACATTTATAGCATACTTTTTCTCTTTGTCTAATATTTCTGAACATAATTTGTGCAGGTTTGCAATTATTGCAATTAATAGATGCTGATATTTTTATCTTAGCTGATCCTGTTACTAATATTGTGGTCACGATCTGTGTCTGGAAGGCCAGCAAGATGTTCCCTTGCGCAAAATTTCTTACGATACTTTCCCGATGCTCCAGAAGCTCAAATGGAGTGCAAAGCATGTCCTAAGTGCCCAGCAGGAATGGGACTCACACCATTATGCGGTTCAAAGATTTCAAACTACACCATCATCAAATGTGAACCTTGCAGAGAGAATGTGACTTTCTCTGAGACACACAGCATTGAAAGCTGCAGACCCTGTCATGACTGTGGATTAAGGAACATTATCCAGCAGTGTACCCTTTATCAAAACCGTCGATGCGGAAACAAGTGCCCTGAAAGACATTTTCTGGGTGACAATGGTTTTTGCCATGAATGCTATTTTTGCTGCTCCAACATCCCCGAGTCTTCCAGGCTAAAAAAATGTAAAGACATTGGAATGAGCAGGGACTGGCAGTGCCTCAAATCCCAAACGAATGGGCTTTGCAAGGAAATAAGGGAGAAAAATGCAGAAAATGCTACTTCAACTACTCATGACGTAACCACACCTACTTCTAGTGCTGATCTCGCTGTCTTTGATTTTAACTTGAACTTGACTGGTATGGTTTCAAGTGAAGAAGACACCAGGAAACCTGTATTCAAATCCGAAAAAAACAATTCACTTCCAGCAACAACAAAGACAGGTACAGACAAGAGGTCAACAAAAGAAGAAGGAGAAACAGTGACATCTACATTTATAGCCTTGATAGCTATTGGGACTGCCATTATATTATTTATTTTTTTTTTGGTGCAATCATTTACTACTGCTTTAAACGTTCGCATCCAAACGGTAAGAAAAAGATATACTTTTTTTCTTTTTAATTGCGCAAGTATATTTTGTAACATTTATGGAATAAGTAGACCCTTTGAGAAAATTGAGTAATTTAATGAATTCTTATCATAATCATGTTTAAGTGCTATTTCACACGGATGTACACAAATTGAAACTTAGAAAATAGTGATTATACTATGACCATCATATGTCAATTGTCCTCAAGCAGGAGTCCATCACCCAGAGCCACCATACCAATTATACCATTGAGTCAACCCTGTCCTGTATCTTTTTATTTTGAGACAATAATTTATGCTATGTTGCAGTTACAAATTCCAACGAGCGTATACCTCTGAGAGGTATGGAAGGTGCCGAAGATAGAGATGTCTCAACAGAAACCGCAGAAGGTAATGATAACCATCATGATATTTATGCACCACGCATTCTGCTGACAAGCTTTTGGACAAAAATGAATCTATTTCAAGATGTACATCTCTTGAGCAGACTTTTCTTCAAGAGGGGAGAATTGACAATCAGATCTTGAGAATCAAAGAGTTAATAATCCCTTTAACTCTCCAGTTCTAACTGTTAATTTTCCCCTCTAGCTGCTACACATTTCCCTTTAGTTTTGTTACAAGAATTTGGTTTGGGATCAAGATAACCTCTACCTGATAAATTTGATTATTCTCATTACCTATTTGCTGGATAATGTATGGATATTACAGGAAGAAGTTGCATGTTAATCACTTCAGGGAGTTGGGGGATTAAGATTTTTCCAATTTTATGGTAATCAGCAAGTTGTATTCTGGATTACTGAAGTGCTTCTTAATTTTATTTTGTCTCTCAAATGTGCTAGAAGGTAATGACAATCAAGAGCCTCTCATTAGTGAGCTTAGACAAGACCAGCCAAAAACTGATCTGATTCCAGCAGGTGAGGTGTACATCCTGCCATTTGGTAGACCAAGTTGATTACTTGTTTATTCTTGTTATGCAATTAAGATCATGTGATGACTGTGCCATTAGTCATTCAGATGTTGCATTTCATCTCTTACATGTACCCTCCTCTTAGCTTGGTGCAATAAAATGCACAATTGTAGCCTCGTGAGTGGGTGTTAAAATGGAAATAAACTTATCCCCTGAGTTAGTCTGTAGTACCTAGACTACAGAGATTAAGTTTCCTTCACTGCTGAACACTGTACTCCTAAAAATAAACCAAAAAACTATTCTTAATCCTTGGGAATTCTTAACAATTGAAGCATGCCTTTTTCCACCAATGGTACTACAAAAAACTCTGTTAACATTATTATCCATTGAACTCTTAGATTGCAAAGTCTCTGAAATGCCACAGCTGCATAACCATGAAAATCAAATACTATTGCACTATGTGCAAAGGATGCTGGATCCACTGGAGAAACAGACAAAGAAAAATTGGCGCTCTGTTGGGCAAACCTTGAATGTTTCAGAAGAAGACTTAGACCTGATAGACACTGATTACAGAGCAGGAAGAAGTCCTACAGTTAGTCTTATTGGTAAATTAAGCACCTTTTTAACAGTGCCCTCAATGAGAAGCTTTGTAGAAGCTCTTGTTACATGCAAAAGGTATGATGTGGCCACCCATATTTGCAACTGGCCATGGGAGTTACGCACTATACAATGAGGGATATCATTCAGCAAGCTTGAAATGAGAAATAATTAAGTAACTGGTCATAACCTTCAGCTGTTAGGTCTTTAGAGAGCCCCCCACCTTAAAAAAACAAAACAAAAAAACAAAAAGATTCCCCTATAACTTCTGCAAAAAACAGGGCACACGGAACAAGCAACTAACTACAAGCTGAAGGCCTCTAGTATCTCATTATGTTGAAAGCCAGGGAAATGAAGTGACAATTTTTCTTTGGCTAGTATGCTTGAAGCCACTTTAGACAACATTTTAAAAACACAAAGCAAAGTTGCAGGTAACTTTAATAACTTAATATGTTCCCAGTTTCACAACAAAGAGTCATACTCTGACTTGCAAACAGCAATACCATGTTTTACACAGCAAACATTGCCCTGCATGATATCATTTCCCAGTCCTTTAATGACATCCTTGACATTAATTTTCTCCTGTCAGCATCTTTTGTATAACAGTTTTAAAGTTCATGATATATTAACCACAAAGAGGAAACAAACAAACAAAAAAAAAAAAACACAAAATGCTTAACAAAGGAGAAAAGAAGGAACAAAAAAATACCAAAAAGGAAAAATTGGTAACTGAGCATACACTGTAATGTTTCAAAAACCATTTTAAACACTCACTTGTGCCATTGAATTTTTTAAAGAGCTTTGTGAAAACAACTTCTGCATATGAAAAAAAGAAAAAAAAAATTAAGGACGTCAGTAAGAAAAAAACATTTACATACCCATAATTGTTATTAATCACCCCAATGATGAGTGCATCTTGTTTCTTGTAAGTACTTTCAGTTAAAGAGGAATAATGTGGCTGAATAATAAATATTTATCAGGACTTTATTTACTAGGTGGTGCTATTTAACAACATTAGCTCAAATATTGCAATCTTGAATTTTTCAATAGCCAACCACAAAGGCTTTTGGTTAAGAATCTTGATCAGACCTTGACAGTTAAATGTAAAATGTTTCCATTTGTAGCTTCTGTGTGTCAAGTTTCATGATCAAAATAATTTTTTTTTCATGAACAAGAACATGAAAAGTAACTCTAAGTGATGTCTTATAATTATGCATTAAGTAGATGTATTTATCTTGATGCAACATATTTATGCTATCAAATATTATGTGTAAATATTACATTAAAAGATTCTTAAGCCAGTAGTTCTGAGATCTGTGCAATTTAGATTGTGTTTACATTTGTGCTATAAGAGGCATGATAAGTACATCTTTATTCTGCTAACAACGTCAAGTGGTAAATGTTGATAACAATGAAAATAAATTCAGGTTCCGGAATTTAAGTGCCTGCATGGACTGTATCTCCAATGACCCAAGTAGGTGGGAAGCTCTTGCTTTCTGCATCTTTTGATAACAGATGTGAAAGTTGAGACATGGGCAAATCAGAACAGTTGTTATACAGACAGGACTGTATGTTACTGTCAATGGTACACAAGTAAGTAAACTACGAAAATACTGTTTGGAACATTTTATTATCGTTGTGAATTACTTAGTTTACAAAGAAGAAATAAGGTCCAAAGTCTTAACTGTAAGACATTCAAGTTACACAGCTTTAGTTTAGAAGACACCTGGAAAAGAAGATAAAAAGATCATGACTGCAGGGAATCCCATTTTGGCAATGTTAACAGAGTTAGGAAGTGTGATTTTATCGGAAGAAAGTCTCAGTATTTAAGTAGTCTTCAGAAGTAAATATCAGTAGATTATGATTGAATGTTTAACAAATAGAGAAGCCTTGACTGTGCTCTGTTCTGTTATAAAGCACGCAGGAAGCAGCTAGAGCACGAAAGAAGTGTAGGGAGAAGCACGAGACGTAGTAGAATGTTTATCTATTAGTTTTAAAATAAAGAATCCGTTAGATTCCCCAAGCATTACTTTCAATTATCAAAAGAAACTTTATTTCCAAAGCGATCAACAGTGTCGTCAGCATGCTCGGATCAATATTAGTATCTGGGCAACTACCCACCTACCCCTCCCCTAAGCCAACATTAACCCTAATTTGCTATCAATTGACCGTTCTTGAGTTAGGGGAGGGGTAGGTGGGCAGTTGCCCAAATACTGATATTGATCCGCATGCTCTATACTCTCATAAAGCACGCTACAATAAGCTAATCAGAATCCCTGTTAGAATAGTTCAAATAATCTGATTGGCTGTACAAGACTAAAGCTGTCAAAATTGTCAAACCATCAAAATTCAAAAACCATCAAAGTTCACATTCTGCGATAGTTTACTAACTAAAATAGTTCGGCAGGTCGAATTTAACACTTTTGCCTGAAGTTTTTAAGTTCCTTATACAGAATTTTGAAGTGAAATGTTCAGTGAACTTCAGCCGAATTATGGCTCATAAAAACACGCAAGTTTTTTCACATGACATGATAGAAAACAAACTGTTCAAGGCGAGTGTTTTTTGAATGAAGGACAGCTGAATTCACCGGAACATGAAGATCGCTCGGGATGACAGCGCGGCAAAACTCGGCTGCAGTGACTGATGTGACTTTCCACTCAACGCATCGGAAAGGATATCAGAGCAAGCTCTTATTTTTTCACTCGAAGGGCGGCCAATGTAGTTTCTGAGGCTTGCTTTACTGCGATGACCGGAGATCGCCATGATGAGCGAGCCGCGATGGACTTTAGCATGATCATATTCGCTCAGACACCGTCATGATTAGAATGAATTTTAACAGTTATGCCAGTTTGGTTATATTTTTCACCATCTCTGTTTTGTTCTGTCTTTTTTTTTTTTGAACACTGTACTTTATATATTGTACAAGTGTTAGCTGTGTTTGATTTTTATTACCGTACGTAAGCTTGCAATCTAACTGAGCGTGTGTATTTTGTTTTTCCTTTGAGGATTTTCGTTTCTGCTCACGTTTTAATAACGTAAAATTACGGAGCCTGGTATGTTTATAAACCTTTGTTTGGTTCTTCTGTTGCTACTTGCCGGCTCGCTTGTTCCGAAATTTCACTTTCAATTATCGGGAAAAAGCGAAAAAGAAGTCCCGGAAAAGGTCGAACATAGTACAATTTGGCAGATGGCATGACAGCTTTAGCTCAGCTCTATGCTCTATACTCTCATAGAGCACGCTCTTTCAAACAATGACAGCGCGCGTTATATCATAACTTTATTATAAATTAAGTTATCACTGGCTTTCAACTCAGGGTTTGAACACAGGGCATAATCTTTCCAACTAATAATAATATCATTATGATCCAAGAAATTTTTTTGCTGTTTTCCATTGTAAACAATCAGGGGTTGGTTGAAAATACTGCAGAAATCATGATTTACTCAATATATTTCTCACCTTTCTACATGTATTCTGGGAAAATTATTGTCCATCTTCTCCCATGATTTTCATGAAAGAATCAAGTTTTTGAAACAAGTTGGATGGACCTTGACTTTTTTTTTTGACCAAAGCCCCCTTCATAATAGAACTCTGAAATATTGTGATAATAATAACTTTATTTACTTAGGGTGACACATTAAAGTTCAGAACTGGTGAACTTGTGACCCTCCTCTAAGATATAAAACTAATTTATAAATATTAAAAAGGTAAAAGCAGTTAAAAATGGTAAAAACGGGAAGAAAAAAAGGGTAAATGTAATATTAAATGTAATATATTAAAAAGGGGTCCAAATATTATATATATTATAATATATCTATATTATATTTATAAAATTACAAATAGTTCTGTTTGAAAGCAGTTATACTGGTGCTAGCTCTTATATTACTGAGTTGAGAGTCCCAAAGTTTTACAGCTGTAACAATAAATGTTTTTCCACCTTCTGTGTATACCTAGGACAGCATATAGTTATATCACCATAGCAACTACTCTATGAGAGGCAACTACTGAAGTCTCCTACTAACTTTTAGTCTTCAGGATATGCAAACACAATGCAAATACAATAATTACCATGTAAACTAAAGGAGCAAAACACTTGATCCCAAATCACAACCTACATGTACAACAGCAGTTATTTGATGAGACGTAAAGAGAAAATACCCTGCTATCACATGGAAATAGAATTAAAAATCAACAATCAATCGTGATTGACCACTTCCCCATTAAGGCTTCTCGGGGTCACCCAAATGCTAGTTCAGCAACCAACCACTTTGCCATTCTGCATATCTGCAGCATGCCTTAGTTAATCATTGACTTCCTGCATCGCAAACTTGTCATGTTTGATCTATTGTAATATTCAAACATACCCATTTGCAAGATAATAACAAGAGTAGAATCCATCATTGAACCCAAGAACTCTAATCTGTTATTGTCAAAGTATGAACTCATCACGAACCACACCAAGTAATGGAACTACTTGTAAACTTCCTTAAAAACATTCAAGGCCAGCCTCTTAGAGGAGCAAGGTGCCAGATTATATTTGCAAATTAATCAGCCAAAAGAAATCAACAGGATATTCCTTCAGATCCAGCAAAAAAGTTATGCTTGAGGTTCCAAGAGGCAAGATACTCCCAACACTTGGTGGTAGAGCATTCTGTTATACGGCCCCAAAGCTCTAGAACAATTTACCCAGCAAGATATCCAGCCTTGACTCTCAAATTTTAAATGCCTTGTGGAAACATGTCTTTTTAAACAAGCTTTTAATTTGTAGCAGAGTTTTTATTTCGTTTATTTTATTATTTATCATTTATTGTCATTTTATTTCATTTTAAATCTCTCAATCTGCTTGTAAATTTTATTCATTTTTAATCTTTTTAACTTATTGTAAAGCACGTTTGATCATGTGCTATGGAAAGTTGTACTACATAAGTTTTAATTCATTTTAATAAATTGTAAAAAAAAATTGTAAAATTAATTAAAATTAAAAAAATTAATTGCAATTGTAAGAGAAAATCTAAGATCACTAATGACTTAACCACTGTGTTGTATCAGAGAGAACTTTATAATTATTTTGTAATTTGATTTTACCTCACCTCATTACAAACACAAGTAGGAACGACAACAAAAAACTGTGCAAATTCCTTATGTCATCCACTCAATGAAACAAAAACAATTAACTTTAATTAGAATGAGGCACGCAGTTATTCGTTTGACATGAGAAAGAAACTTGGAAGTTTTTCAATCAGACCTTTGGGGCGGTATGAGATAGGGGCGAAAATTATCGTCACCAGCAATCAGCTGAACTATGAACTCATCACAAGAATTATCAATAATCGAGTGTATATCGAAGCGATCAACTGAAATCATTACATCAAGGAATAACCAAGGTTTTGTGCCAGCATAGCTTAAAGAATAATCTCAATTTTGGAAACGAGCTTGTGGCAATTAAAGGAAACAAGTTTCAAAGTTACTCTTTAAATAAAATGTTGGATATTTTGACATATACAAGTGTATCGAAATGTATCGGTGCCTGCTCTTAAAAATCAACCCGTAGTTCAGTTAACACCGAGAATAACATTGTTCGGTGCCAGTATCGATGTATCAGACCACAGGCAATTGAAAACAAATATCTTACCTGGGAAGCTCAGTATTTTCGAAAGATATGACGATTGTCCTTTGACTTGATGTGAAAAACGTTTCATTAAATTAACAAAAGTGTTAACTTAGAATGGGAGAAATGTCCGCCATGTTAAATAATTGAGTTTGCGACCGCTGATCAATTCGTCCAAAGTAAAATAAGCCGGCGGGCATAGTCAGCGATCAAACGCAAGAATCCAACACCTAGTGTTGGTAATCGGGTAAAACATTCCGTTGGGACCCTAAGAACCGAGTTTCGAGTTTTTTATTTATATTTGTTATTTTTTAATTTATTCATTTTTCATGCGTCCCGGGTTTTAGTAATTTTGTGTTCCGGGTTTTAGTATTCCGGCGTTCCGGCATTCTAGCGTTCCATGTTTTGGTACAAGCCAGCTAATCTCGCTTTTGATCTTGAGAAGTTATTCATGGATCGATTTTTCGCGGTTGTGTGTACGTGTACGTGAGGTCATGCACAAGAGGGGTGACATCATACATGGTAACAGGAAATGAAATTTCAGAGAAAGGACTTGGTCTAAATTTTTCAGCCAATCAGATTGCAGGATTTTGTATTCCTTCCTAACCTTATAAAAAGGAATCATTCTGTCGAACGACAGTGTGGTAGTACGAACTGCAGTGTTGTAGTGTCAGGACGAAAAATACGCTCACAATCTTGCGTGCGGTGAAGGAGTTTCTCGTTAATATCTAAATGGTAAGTGTTCCTTATGCTGTTTGGACCCTTCATTTTCTTAGAGCTCCTTATTAGATGTTCTTCTCTCTTAGATCCACTTTGTTGCCCATTGCCTGTTATGTTTTTGATAATAGACATCCACCTTTCTGGTTAATACAACTTTACTTTTGGTATTTCGATGGTCAGCTTGGCAAAGGAATAATTAACAATATGCTCAACAATTCATGCATTCAGAAATACTTAATATATTTTCGTCCATTGTGACAAACTACTTAGGTAATTTATGTTTACATATTTTATTGTATCTAATTATTTATTTCTACGGGGATTTGTAATTGCTTTTCTAGTGAATACTGAGGCTTACATGCACGATGATGCATGCATGACCTATGGCACGTAGTAGTTCGGGGTACGGGGAATCCCCACCTAACCTCCACCGACTGAACCCAGTCCCTCCATAAACCGTTCTCTCCTCTGTGATCTTAACGCCCACTAAAGATAGTCGGCTATTTCATTAAAAGTTTTAGCCATATGAAGCTTCAAGGTTCGAAGGCGGCCCACTAAAGACGTTTTATCTGCATGACCTCCGTTGATTTGCAGTGTAAAGGGAAAACCCCACATAATGAATGCGAAATCAATTTGGAGCGAACTTTCTCATCTTCTGTACTAAGCCCATAATTCTAAGCCCATAATTCTCGAAAACAAGCGGCACAGACTAAAATTTAAAGCAATCAAACATGTTAATTAATATGGAAATAATTTCCCATTACTGTGTTGCGGAGTTGCTCACTGCTCCGTTATCTCCGCTGTAAATATTAAATAAGTTGTTGTGTTGTTGCGAATGTTTATAGTAGTTTAAAAATACTACTATTGAAGTTGTGTCGTGAATAAAGCGTATCATAGCTCTAACCAACATTTATATCGTACGTTTCCTCTTTACCTAATATTTTCGAACATAATTTCACTAATTTGTGCAGGTTCGCGATCACTGCAATTAATAAATACTGATATTTTTATCTTAGCTGATCCTGTTCTTATTATTGTGGTCACGATTTGCGTCTGGAAGGCCGACAAGATGTTCCCTGTCAAGAAATTTCTTACGATACTTTCCCGATGCTCCAGAAGCTCAAATAGAGTGCAAAGCATGTCCCAAGTGCCCAGAAGGAACAGGACTCACACCATTATGCGGTTCAAAGATCTCTAACTACACCATCATCAAATGTGAACCTTGCAGAGAGAATGCGACCTTCTCTGACACACATAGCATTGAAAGCTGCAGACCCTGTCATGACTGTGGATTAAGGAACATTATCCAGCAGTGTACCCCTTATCAAAACCGCAAATGTGGAAACAGGTGCCCTGAAAGACATTTTCTGGACAACAATGGTTTCTGCCAGGAATGTTATTTTTGCTGCTCTGATGTCCCTGAGTCTTCCAGGCTGAAAAGCTGTAAAGACATTGGAATGGGCAGGGACTGGCAGTGCCTTGAGTCCCATGAGAATAGACTCTGCAAGAAAATAAGGGAGACTGTAGAAAATGCTACTTCAACTACTCCTGAAGTAACCACACCTACTCCTAGTGCTGATCTCCGCCCTGCCTCTGATTCTGACCTGAACTTAACTGGTATGGTTTCAAGTAAAGAAGACACCAGGGAACCTGTACTCAAATCCGAAAAAAACAATTCGCTTCCAGCAACAACAAAGACAGGTACAGACAAGAGGTCGACAAAAGAAGAAGGGGAAACAGTAACATCTACATCTATAGCCTTGATAGCTATTGGGGCTGCCACTCTAGTTTTTATTTTGGGTGCAATCATTTACTACTGCTGGAAACGCTCACATTCAGACGGTAAGAAAAAGTCATACTTTTCCTTCTATAATAGCCCGAGTATATTTTGTGACATTTATGGAATTAGTAGACCCTTTGAGAAAATTGAGTAATTTAATAAATTCTTACCATAATCATGTTTAAGTGGGGTTTCACACGAAAGTACACAAATTGAAACTAAGCAAGTAGCGATTATGCTATGACCATCATATGTCAATTGTCCTCAAGTAATAAAATTATTTCATTTTAAATTTGATCTGAGGGCCCACAACCATCTCTTTCCCTTAAGTAAACTTAAATCTTGACGCTCGAGCACATTAGTATGTCTCCTCCATACAACTTTTTCCAGTGTTTGTGTAACTTAATTTTTTTTCATTCATTTTTTTTAATCAGGTAAACCTTTTTGGTTGGGTCCATAGTTTGACTCCCATTAATATTATTAAATTCATTTTTGGCTTCATCAAGGTGTACTTTGCTGATTAATAGACACATAATAGTAACTTTCAGTGTAGCATACAATAACACAACAATGCTTTGTTGCAGTTACAAATTCTAACGAGTGTATACCCCTGAAAGGTATACAAGGCGCCAAGGATAGAGATGGCTCAACAGAAACTGTAGAAGGTAGTGACAACTAACATAGTAGTTTTGCATCACACATTCTACTGACAAGCTTTTGGACAAAAATGAATCTACTTCAAGATATACATCTCTTGACCAGCTTTTTCTTCAAGAGGGGAGAATTAACGATCAGATCTTGAGAATCAAAGAGTTTACCCTCTAACTCTCGACTTCTAATTGTTAATTTTCTACTTTAGCTGCTACACATTTCCCTTTAGTTTTGTTAAAAGTATTTGGTGTGATATCAAGGTAACCTGTACCTGATAAATCTGATTATTCTCATTACCTATTTGGTGGATAATATATGGATATTACGGGAAGCAGTTGCATTTGCATATTTATCAATTCAGGGGAGTTAGCGGGTTAATACTTCCCGATTGTTGTGTGTAATCAGCAAGTTGCTTTCTAGGATAACCAATTAGTGCTTCTTAATTTTTTTGTCTCTCAGATGTGCTAGAAGCTGATGACCATGAGGAGTCTACCACCAGTGAGCCTAGAAAAGACCAGCCAAAAACTGATCTGATTCCAGCAGGTGAGGTGTACATCCTGCCATTTGGTAGACCAACTTGGCAACTTGTTTATTCTTGTTATGCAATTAAGATCATGTGATGAGTGTTCCATCAATCATTCAGATGTTGCATTTCTTCTCTTACATGTATCCTCCTCTTAGCTTGGTGCAATGCAATTAGAGCCTTGTGAATGGGTGTTAAAATGGAAGTAAACTCATCCCCTGAATTAGTCTGTTGTACCTGGACTATGGAGACTAAGTTTCCGTTCACTGCCAAACATTAATATTATAATCTTAAAAATAAAGCAATTTTCAATCCTTGGGAATTCTTAACAATTAAAGCATGTCTTTGTCCACCAATAGCACTACAAAAAAGCATATTTCATGTTACAACTCTAGCTCCGTGACCATTACTGTAGTAATACTGCTTTCCATTGAACTCTTAGATTGCAAAGTCTCTGAAATGCCACAGCTGCGTAACCATAAAAATCAAATACTATTGCACTATGTGCAAAGGATGCTGGATCCACTGGAGAAACAAACAAAAAAAAATTGGCGCTCTATTGGGCAAATCTTGAATGTTTCAGAAGAAGACTTGGACCTGATAGACACTGATTATGGAGCAGGAAGAAGTCCTACAGTTAGTCTTATTGATACATTGAGCACCTTTACAATAGTACCCTCTATGAGAAGCTTTGTAGAAGCTCTTGTTGCTTGCAACAGGTATAATGTGGCCATTAATATTTGCAACTGGTCATGGGAATTACGTACTGCGCAATGAGGGAAATTATTCAGCAAGCTTAAGACGAGAAATAATTAAGTAACTAGCTGTAACCAGCAGCAGTTTGGTCTATGGAGAGCCCCCCTCCGAAAAAAAAAAATTCCTGTATAACCTCTGCACAACCACTATGCCCTGTCACAGAGCATACACTATAATGGTTCTAAACCAAAAAATGCCAGAAAGGAAAAATTGGTCACGGAACATACACTATAATGGTTCTGAGCCCAAAATACCAGAAAGGAAAAATTGGTCACAGAGCATACACTATAATGGTTCTGAGCCTAAAATACCAGAAAGGAAAAATTGGTCACAGAGCATACATTAAAGAGGGGCTTTTTGAAAACAACTCCTGGATATGGAAACAAGGACATCAATGAGAAGAAACAGTTACACACACAAAATTGTTATTAATCATTACAACAGTGCCAAATATTTCCAGGAAATGAGTAGTATGTGGCTGAATATTTATTATTATCAGGACTTTATTTACTATGCTATTTAACAGCATCCCAAAAGCCAACGATATTTCAATTTTGGATTTTTCAATAACCAACCACAAGGGCTTTAATGGTAAAGAATCTTTGATCAGACTTTGACAGTTACATGTAACGTTAAAATGTTTCCATTTGTAGCTTTTGTGAGTCAAATGTCATGATCAAATTTTTTTCCTAGGATAAATTTTAACGCTGTTTCTGGTGATGAATTATTATAAAATGAAAAGTAACTCCGAGTGATATCTTTATTATGCAAGTAGATGTATTTTTCTTGAAGCAACATTATTTACATATGCTATCAAGTATAGTGTATAGATATTTATAATTAGTAAACTATTTTTAAAACAGTAGATTATTTTTATTTCTGCGTTGTATAAGGCATGATAGGTACATATTTATTCTGCTTACAATGTCAAGTGGTAAATGTTGATACCAAAGAAAATAAATTCAGGTTCTGGAATTAGTGCCTGCATGGAATGTATCTCCACCCACCCGAGTAAGTAGGAACCTCTTGCTTTCTGCACCTTTTGATAACAGATGTAAAAGTTGGGACATCAGCAAATCAGAACAGATATTATACAGACAGGACTGTATAGTACTGTCAATGGTACACAAGCAAATAAACTACAAAAATATTGACTGTGAATTAATCAGTATACAGAGAAGAAATCAGGTCCAAAGTCTTAATTGGTTGCAAGACATTCCAGTTACGCGGCTGTTGTTAGAAGACACCTGGGAAAGAAGATAAAAAGATCATGAGTGCAGGGAATCCCATTTTGGCAATTAATGTTAACAGAATTAGGAAGTGTGATTTTTATTAAAAGAAAGCCTCAGTACTAAAGCAGTCTTCAGAAGTAAATATCAGTGGATTATGACTGAATATATAAAGTCATCACTGGCTTTCAGGTGGGAGTTTGAACAATGGGCATGATCTTCCAAACTAATGATAATACCATTATGATCCAGAACCTTTTCAAGACTTTTTTGCTGTTTTCCATTGTAAACAATCAGGGGTTGGTTGAAAATATTGCAAAAATGATTATTTACTCAACACATTTCTCACCTTGCTACATTTATTCTGGGAAAATTACTGTCCATCTGTTCCCATGATTTCCAAGATCAAGTTTATGAATCAAGTTTGATGGACCTAGAAAAATATGAACACAATTTTCATTTTCCTTTTATTTTTCTTTTTTTTTGACCAAAGCCCCTTTACAATAGAACACTCACTCTAAGAGAGGCAACTGCTGAAGGTTCCTGCTAACTTTTAATCTTCAGGATATTCAAACACAATGCAAATACAATAATTACCTTGTAAACACTTCATCCCAAGTCACAACCTACATGTACAGCGGCAGCTAAGTGATGAGACATAATGAGAAAATACCTCGCTATCACATAGAAATAGAATTAACAATCAACAATTAATCATGATTGACCACTTCCCCATTAAAGCTTCTTTAGGTCACCAGAATGCTAGTTCACGTTTTAGTCAAGGCAAAAGAGTCAGGCTTATCAATCGTGTATTGATCGCCACGAGCTATTTGTAGCGCCTTAGTTTGTTGTTCTAATCGGTGCATTTTAATCCTTATTAGTATTCTGATAATTAGATGTTCTACCCTCTTAGGTCCGCTTTCTTACCCATTGCCTGTTATGTTTTTTGATAGTAGACATCCACCTTTCTGGTTGATACAACTTTACTTTTTTGGATGGTCAGCTTGGCAGATGAATAATTAACAATGTGCTCAACAGTTAATGCGTTTAGAAATATTTAATATATTTTCGTCCTTTGTGACAAACTACTAAGGTAATTTATGTTTACATATTTTATATTATTTAAATATTTAACTGTATCTAATTATTTATTTCTACGGGAATTTGTAATTGCCTTTTTAGAGAATAATACATGGCGCGCGTAGATGTGGAATTTCTAGGCGAGTGTTCGGCTCGACAGCTTACGAGTAAGCGCAGCGAACGAGTGAGGTATATCGAGTTGTTTAAGAGTA